AACTTGCCTGTGCCTGACTTGCAGAGATTCCACAGCTGTTTATTCATCAAACTTGCGTTCTCTTCTCTGGTCATCATGTCAAGATGAAATATGGACACTGGTTCCCAATGTCCTTGCTTCTCTTCATTGGCTTAGAATTTAAAATCATCCTTCTCACACATAAAGTCTTAAATGGCAAAGTTCCATCTTACATCAGAGATCTGATTGTTCCTTATGTTCCTAACGGACTAGCTTCATCTGGTCTGTTCCTGTTTGGTTGTGACTCCATCATGTTGAGAAATATCAGCTGTGCTGCTGCCTTCAACAACTTTGTTAGTAGATGTTCAGGCTCAGCCTGTCCTTGAACCAGTGGCGGCCGGCCCATAGGGGGCGCTGGGGCACCGCCCTCCCTGATAAGAAGAGAGAAACGTAAAATATATTTTTAGAAATTAACTCATAAATGTCAGTTTTACTCTCTAGACTGTGTACCTATAAGCAAAACAAATTATATAAACTACATTTCCCTATCTACTGTCATTAATTTGTGGATTTCCACAGACAGACTCCTACCGTCTCTGTTCTGGGGGCGCTGATCAGACTGACCCACATTTGCAGAGAATCTGTCAATCATGTACTATTGCTAGGTGAATTTAATGGCCAATCAGTGTCTCGGAACTTTATGGTCTTGGGGCGCTGAAAATACTGCGCTTTAACAGGCTTCTGAACCCAAGCGCAGGTGCAGACAGTTAGAGGGAAGATGGCGAACGTAACGAACGAGATGCAGCTTCCACCAAATTCGGTGAGATCCTTATTTATCTACCCGTTTGCCAGAAGAACATCCCTGTTGTAGGATATGAACATTTCATGTCATGGTTATTGTGACTGTGACGAATCCACCTCGTCGCTTAAAACAACCTCTCTAACTTTGCGCGCCACACACACATTCCTGTTATACTGTGTTTGTGAGGACCAATACACTCGCGCTGAGCCCAGTAGCTCCATGAACTTAAAACACACAAGCTGTCCTGGTTACCTGCTGCGTATTGAGGGTGCACACTTAATATTTCAGTGGGGTTAGCCGTGTGTGTGTGTGTGTGTGGGTATGTGGGGGGGGGGTGGGTGTGTACGTGTTTATGCTACGGGGACTTGTCATCTTCAGTCTGGCTGCGTCTTTGCTGGGTTCAAACCCAGTTTGGTGTAATTGAATAAGTCAATGAATCTGTGTAAAAGAATTAAGTTGTAAAAATTATTTGTTTTTGTACATCAATTGTTTGTGGAGGTAATATATGGACAAAACTGATCAATGAGAAGAAATCAGAAATAAGAGAGCCTGAGGTGAGGGGCTTAAACTATTTAATGAGGGCTGTGGGAAGAAAAGCGGCAGCTTTTGTTTTCTGTTTCTTTGTTTCATTGCTGGTAACTGGAGGGAGGCTGAGGCCCAGAGTATCTTGTACATGTTTAGTTTCTTTTGCACCCTGTTTTGAGTTTTTGAGCACAATAAATCACCAACACCGGTAACCCGACTGAGACTGGATTCTTGGAGGCCAAAGAACCCCGTCACAGTGACCCAAATCATCACTGTTACTGTTATTATATAGTAAATTAAATCATTACTGTTAAATTGTATGTATTGTCCAATTGTTTATTTGAATTCTTATTCCGGATTAGTTGGAGACATACACTAGGCTATATCAGCCCCACCAAAAATATTTTTCACCAGCCGCCACTGCCTTGAACCCCAGTGGGCCTCAGCAGATGGCCCCTCACACTGAGCCTGGTTCTGCTGGAGGGTTCTTGATGGTAAAAGAGTTTTTTTCTCCACTGTTGCTCCAAGCATGCTTAGTGTGAGGGATTGAGCAGCAGGCGCAGCGCGTCGGGAGCGCGCCGCCAACGCGCTGCCGCCGCTCGAGATGGAAAAATTGAAGTTTTGCTGCTGGAAGCGCCGCATCAACGAATCAGAGAAGCTGATCTGGGAGCTGACAGTGAGACAGACACATCGCTCTGATGCCATATGATATTAAAGCAAATGAAAGGGCTGGATGTATGAGGAGATGATGAAAGCGTGGCTGAGGCAGGTGTATGTGAGGAGACCAGGTGGTTTTTTCCACGCATCACCATCGCTGTTAATCTGTGACTCCATGCGTGCCCATCTCACAGCTGATGTGAAAAACATGGTGAAAAAAAATTTTACGCTGTGCTCGCCGTTATCCCGGGGGTCTGACAAAGGAACTTCCACAGCTCGACATCGGTGTGATTCAAAGTAAGGCTGCGAGCGGCGTGGGAGCGATGGGTGACAGACGGAGACCACAGTTTCACGATAAGTGGAAGGCAGCGCCGGGCAAGTTACGCCACCGTTTGCGGATAGATTGTAGATGCTTGGACTAACGTGTCTGCTGGCTCTGTTGTTCAAGCTTTCGCAAAGGCCGGCATTATTTCTGAGGAGCCGCACTGCACGGAAAGTGACTCTGACAGCGAAGAAGGGGAAATTGGCATGTCTGATTTAGTGCAGCTGTTTTATTCAGAAACAGAGGATGATGACTTTGATGGGTTCGATTAATACTTTGTAATAAATACCTGAATAAAGCACAATCATACTCAGTTTTGCTCCCGCTCTATTTTTCTACCTGAAATCTTAATTCAACAGCAGCCTCTGGGCCGGGTTCACCGCGGCGGCTGGCAGGTGTTTTTTCATCTAAATAATCTAAATCTTGCAGCTATATTTGCTGTGATCAGTGGGAATAAAGTAGTTTTAATATGTTTTTAAGTGAGAAAGTCCACCTGAAAACTTCATAATTGCAGTCAGTTCATCCAGATTATCTATTTCTGTCGGAGGCGCTCAGACCCCCACATACCAGCGGTGCACCGACAGTAGAAATCCGTTCATCAGCAGCCTCTAGGCCGGGCAGCCTCCGGTTTCACCGCGGTGGCTGACAGGTGTTTTTCATCTAAATAATTTAAACTGCAGGCACCAGGATACCGGTAATAAAAGCGAACATATTCCGTCGGCAGGTTTCAGGATTTTAAGTTAATTTAGGAGCGATCACAGCGCTCTGTCATCTGCGATGTGTCTGTCTCACGGCCAGCTCCCAGGTTTGATTAATACTTTGTAATAAATACATGAATAAAGCACAGTCATACTCAGTTTTGGGCCCGCTGTATTTTTAAATACGCAGTAGAGGTATTTAAAGGTAGTAGAGGACATGTACCTGTATATAAAAAACGCGCCCTATAGTCCGGTGCGCCTTATGTGTGTGTTAAATACAGAAATGGCACACATAACTGAGAGTGCGCCTTTTAGTACGGTGCGCCTTATGGTCGTGAAAATACGGTACTTTTATTTATTTATTCTTAAGGCTTCCTCTGACTAGTGTGGACTGAGTCAATGCAGACATTTTATCCTTCATAGGACAATTTTGCATGTACCGTGACAAATGCCTTCAATTCCCACACTTCTATGGTGTCATCAGATGAGTTTGAGTTCTGGCTTTACAAAAAACGAAGAAGCAAAATCTAGCAGGACGTTGATTCTTCTCCCACTGCACACCTGTCAGAGAGGCAGCGAGGGTGGTTGAGACGCTAGTGACTGGCTGCTCTGAGCAACGTGTCACAATTGTCTGGGGACTCTTGTGAGCCTGGTGTCATGTTTGAAACAGCTCGCCATGAATACTCATTCCAGGTGAGCAGTATTTTCTTGCTGCACTGAAACATGTAGTGAGACATTAAAGTTGTAAAATTGGAACAGAATAATTAACTATGTCAAAGCTTACTGTTACACATTTTATCTTGATACTGGAGACAGTTTGTCTGAGACATTTTTTCCATTTTCTGTCTTATATGCATTGAACTATCTAGGAACTGATCTAAGGATAAACTTGCCTGCTAAGATGGTGGATTAAACACTTTATTTTTCTCTTATCTTTAAGCACCAAATGTTGGTTAGTCATGTTGGACTGTATCTGAGGTCACAAGTAAACCAGGCCTTTAGTCTGCCCTCTTTTACTTTAAATGGCCTGGTATAGCATTTAGAAATTATTGTGCAATACAAACAGAAAATGTATGTAAAGGATAAGATGTATTTGATTCAAGCGATGAATACTTAAGAAATTTGTCGCTTACTTCCTCCTACCTGTTATCTCAGTTTGCTCGTATTTTTTACTCTTAACTTCTTATCTCTCACCTAAATTGGACTAAAATGTCATATCAGTAAATACGAAGGATTATTATCATTTTTTTTTTAAATTTACATTGACTTGAGGAGAACTAGGAGGTTAACGCTTGGTATGGAAAGGACACAACTTGGCAAGTGATTCTAAACATTGACAGCCAGCTAATTAACTCAGCCAGCAAACAGAATGCAGATGCTACCTGGCATCACCTCTAAAAAAGGCCAAAAGATCAAAAAAAGATGGCCAAGAGGTAGAACTCTGCACCTAGATAAAGAAGACTGGCAGAAAAATGTCTTACCGTCCCCAGGAAAACATCACAATAGCAGCAGTCAGCTTTAACATGGAAAATAAGAGTGAAACCAGCAAGAAATATTGGAATTTCAACACAAAAGAGGTTTTGACCACTTAGAAATGACCCCCAGGAAAATAGTCAATCTGACAACAAACAGAAGCTCTAATCGGTTTTGTCCTAAGTTGCCAGATAAGGCTGGAAAAACCATAGCAAACACACACTGTTAGGAAGAAAAATTAAAGCATTCAAGAGGGATTTTATTAATCTGCTAAATAAGGTTGAAGGTCTGAATGCCTTTTTAAGACTATTTATCGTGGTGAGGAGATTTTCTGGAGATTTCTGATGCTAAAAAAAAGACTAAAACAATCACATTGAACAGCATCTGTGACCTTCCAACAGTTTTCTGGGATAAAATAAATTTTTTGTCTCAATATGTCAGAGTACCAAAGCTCCAAACCTCCAACATTTTCTATTCAGTGAATAATACACCAGCAGCTTTCTCCTTGAACAAAGAAACGTGAAGTAGGTCAATAAATAATAAGCTTTGTTTTAATCCCTCTTACCTGTGCAGACTCATATGTGATGGTCTTTGTCTCGGTGTGAACCAAAGGAATGTCCTTATAAGTCACAGTTCCTCTTACAGAGTTGGTGATGTCTGAGATAGTGACAGTCTGAGCCCGTAGCACCGGAGACTGGAGAGATGAAAAAAACAGGACCTATTTGGTGAGAACTGATTCTGTCTATATGGTCTCCGTAATCATTTTAAATCTTAAATATATGCTTTGTTCTTCTTTGCAAATTATTTATGTTGTGTTTTTTTTATCCCTGCATTTATAACAGAATTAGGAATAACTTTAAAATATGGTGACTTGTGAAAGTAAAGTCAAATAAAAAAGTTATTTGTCTATAATTTTAAGTAAGCACAAACATTGAGTTTATGAAAGATGGAAAACATTTAAAACCCTTGGAGAGGAATATACGTCCCGATGGAACCCCATTTCTCAGTTTGGATTGAAGGATGACAAAAAACACACACATTTTGCTGTTAATTGTAGCAGTCCAAAGGGTGAAATATAAAAGATGTATATAGATTTAACACCTGTATGATACGCCTATTGACTAGAGGTTACTAAGCACGCATAAACCTTTTTCAATTAGGCTTGCAAAGGTGTTAGCAGGAGTGGTAAACAGGATTTTATCATAATATAAAGCTGAAAGTTGTCTTCTAATAATGTGTTTTCAGTCCTTTTAAAAAATCTGTCCCATAATGAAAGAAAAATCCATTTAGATTTCATTAAAAATGCTTTCCCTCTGTCTTTTTTTGTTCCTTTATTTATGCAGAAATGTTTCTTGAGTCTAATTTACAAAAGATACCTGTACTGTAACATAAATTACCAGCAAAAAAACAAGACTAAACGCCCGCTCACACTGAGTCTGGTTCTGCTGGAGGTTTCTTCCTGTTAAAAGTGAGTTTTTCTCTCCACTGTCGTTACTAGTATGCTTAGTGTGAGAGATTGCCTTCAAGTCAATGAGTCGATGCAATCAACTGGTTTTCCTTAGATAGAAAACTTTGAATCAATTTGACTGGATGATCTGGTTGAATTATAAAGTGCCTTGAGATAATGTGTTGTGAATTGAATTAAACAGCTGATCTAAAGTGGTCTACATATCAAAATATCTCCTAATTCTGTTAGCGATAGATTAAGCAAATGTTAAGGTGGCCTGTGAAATTGGTGACTCGTAATAACTTTTGAAACTTTGTTTGGAAACTATTAAGTCAGCAGTGAAATCTGCCTTAAAGGTATAGAGTATGATATTTTATTTCCAGGTGGATCATCTAAATAAGTGGTCCTCCTAATTGTCAATCATTATGGTGATATGTTTACATAAGGCCGTCCTACGTGCCATTTATGCTATCTTTTTCTGCAAATGCGCACTCAGGTGTATATCCTTGGTGAGCTACGTTTCAGTCATTGAAGCTCACCTTTCTCACTGCGGTTCTTTGAAAATGACCGAGGGTCGTAAGAGAAAAAGTGTCTACGAAGTGTATCAGAAGAAAAGGCCTCAAAAGAGGCAGATATATCCCAGAATGCTTTTCGCAGAGACCTCTACTCGCAAAGCATTATGGGATTTGCTGTAACAGCAGCTGCTGTCGCCATAGGCTGTCTCCACCCTAAAGCGGCGACTAATAACAAAGATGATGCAGGCACTGCGTGGTGGTGGAGGAGTTACGTGACCAACCAAGCAAAAAGCAGGGATCATCTGTCTGAACGGTCAGTTCACTATATATTCTATACATTCCAAAAAAAGAAGGTTAAAAACAATCCGCTGGACCTTTAATAAAATCTAAAACCTAAAGAACAATTTTCAGTATTTAGATGTTACAGTTCAGGTTTAGCTTCTGTCAATAGCATTTCAAATGTGGAATTAGATTAAAGGATACAAAAATTATACAAAAATAATAAAGAAAAAAAATTATATATATATATATAAATATATATATATATATATATATATATATATATATATATATATATATATATATATATATATATATATATATATATATATATATATATAAATATATGCTGGTAATATATGATAGAATATTAAGAAGGACAATAAAGCTGTTGGGAGCTGGAGAAGTACCACTTTCCTCCAGCAGAGTCCGCCATGGATCCTCCTGAGCCGAGCCTCCTGCACAGCTGAAGCTCATCCCATCATCAGAGGATCCACAGTATTTAAGCTGTCTTCAGATCTTGCCTCAACGCCGCCGTGTTTAATCCAGTTGGTTAGCACCTAAGCCTAGTATCTCTGAGAACCTTCGTTGACTTTTGAATCCAGACTGGATTCTAACCTTTGTTTCTGCTTTCAGGAAACCTGTTTTTCTCCTGTGAAGCTCTGGAAGAGCTTAACCTGCCGAACCTGCCCTCTGAGCCAAACCTGAAGACTCCTCTCTGGATTTCCATGCAGCTCTGGACCAAGAGCTGGAAACTCAAAGCCAAGGTCAGCTCTCTCTCTAGAAGTAAGACGCTGAAGCAGTTAACGGACTCTGCTGAACAAACTATCTCTGGACCCAACAGTTTCCCTCTCAAGGCTTAAACCAAGAACCCTCAAGGTACAAACCAGAAACTCTCTGAATCAAACTCTTCTGATCAAACGCTAACTGAACTGTCTCCCACGCAGACTCCAGTGAACCAGTTTCCCAGACGTGAACCAGAACCAGTGAAATATCTTGTGCTTGTGACAATAAACTTTGTTAAACCTTTTACTTCAGTTTCCGTCTCCGTGGTGTTCTGCATAATTGGGTCTCACTAGAGAACCCATCATGACAAAAGCATGATTGTGTTATTGACAATCATGCTATAGTTTAAAGAACATTGAACATTTGGTTAACTACTAAAAACAATCACTAGGTGCACCCTTTGCTATAACTCTAATATATGTTTCAATGAAGGAAAAGATGGGAAAAAAATCACCTCTTTAAGATGTTTGCCTAATAGCAAGCGGAAAAATCCACCAGTTGAAGGGTCACATAGGACCTCTTCTTCCAATGGAATGGCAGGAAAATAACTGAAATGCTAGGATTTTTCCATAATCCTCTTTCTTTCATATGTATTTTTTCATACATTTTCAAATTCTAGAATATTCCAGGTTTACTGCAAAGCTGCTACTTTCTCACAGGGGGGCGGCTTGTGCTTTGCATTTTTTTTTTTATTTCACTTCCACCGCCCAACATTTTTTTTGCATCAAATATCATGCTCATATCAAATTGAAACCCAACATATACCTCTTTAGAATCAGTCAATCCTCAGGAAAATGACCATCAACTCAATTGTAACCCAACATGCACTACAAAAAACAATAATTGATAAATTATCATTGCCTTAAATTTATCTTTTTCAGTTCACAGCTTATTTTTCTGTGATGGCAATCCGAAAATACGCCTGACGATGGCAAAAATAAGCTAATTTTGTCCGTAACACTCCTCAGAAAAGTAATATCCAGTTGTATTTCCAAAAACAAATGTCGTAATAGCACACCAAAAGTTGTTTTTTTTTGTCATAAAAAGTAAAAACATAAGGAGGAAAACATATAATTAATCTACGTAATGATACTTGTCCACCATTTTAGATCATCTATGTCATGTGGATGTATTCCCCTGTGTAAAGTTTAATTTATATATATATATATATATATATATATATATATATATATATATATATATATATATATATATATATATATATGTGTGTGTATATATATATATATATATATATATACATATATATATATGTATATATATATATATATACATATATATATATATATATATATACATATATATATACATAAGAGGGTACTTGTTTTTAATAGTTATTTATATATATATATATACATATATATATATATATATATATATATACATATATATATATACATATATATATATATATATATACATATATATATATATATATACATATATATATATATATATATACATATATATATATATATATATATATACATATATATATATATATATATATATATATATATATATATATATATATATATTTTATATATTTATATATATATATATATATATATGTATATATATATATATATATATATATATATATATATATATATATATATATATATATATATATATATATATATATATATATATATATATATAAATAACTATTAAAAACAAGTACCCTCTTATGTATATATATATGTATATATATATATATATATATATATATATATATATATATATATATATATATATATGTATATATATATATATATACATATATATATATGTATATATATATATATATATATACATATATATATATATATATATATATGTATATATATATATATATATATATATATATATATAAATATATAAAATATATATATATATATATATATATATATATATATATATATATATATATTTTATATATTTATATATATATATATATATATGTATATATGTATATATATATATATATATATATATATATATATATGTATATATATATATATATATATATATACTAGTGCTGTCAAAATTATCGCGTTATTAACGCGTTAACGCGAGGCCATTTTAACGGCGATAATTTTTTTAACGTGAGATTAACGCTATGTGGTTTTATGGTACAATTTTTCCAAGTACATCCCGCTGCAGCCTGCGGGAAGGCGGGGCTATTTTCCCCCAGTCTATGCATTTTCCATGGGCTTCAAGAGCGGAGCTCCTCAAGGGAAAAAGACGCTCATACACTGGGTGACGCTAGTGCCTTTTCTTTAAGCCCCACCACCAACAAACAAGTTGAGTGTCTGGTAACTAGTAGCAACCTGAAATACGCTGAGAAAACTGATTACTGAGGTGAAATGGAATCTCGTAGCAGCACTCTTGCCGTCTGTGTACGCAACAGGTCGGTATCGCGTGTGTGTGTGTGTGGGTGGGTGTGTCTGTGTTCTCATTTTTGTTAAGAGGCTGAAAAGTAACTTTCTAGAGAGCATAGACTACCTTCATCTAGTGATGTCGGTCTATTGATTTTGATGTATTGATTGAAAATTGTTCATTATTACCTTGGTTAATTAACATCTAATGTTAACTCTACTAAATTTTATAGCAGTAGGATAAAATGCTTGTCTTTGTTCAAAAGAC